TATATTTTTTGATAACGGGAACAGCCTGTGTATTAGAAGGAACATTAGTCCAATATGATCATAACATGTTGGGGGACACCTATAAGCATGTGGTAGAAGGAACAGAATGCTAATAGTGGTTAGTATGATGATTGGATTACTGGTGATTGCCTGTCCCGTTCCTGTTTTCCTATAATGAGCTTTTATTTTATAAATAAGAGTTAAAGGGAATGTGAGTCAGGAGACCCAGGTTCCCTTCCTGGCACTTCTGCTATCTGAAACCTTCTGGGCCTGACTCTTCATCAGTGAAGTGTTTTGGACTGTATGAGTTTGAATATCCCTTTAGGCCTGCTATATCCTGATTTTTAAGTGAGCAGTCTAAAAAAAAGTAAGAAATTGTTAGTGTGTTCTGATTGAAATAGCTTTTGAAACAATAATTGGATGCTTTCTGTTTGGAGCTCATGGATGCCAATGATTTCTCCCCTACTCTCCTCCCCGTCTTTTTGGGGGTGGAGTGGGGAGCATGATGTGAGACAGAGAAGCCACCCTTTCTCTTCTCTCTCAGTCTTTTTGAAAAAGCAAGTAGATCCAACACTTTAGAAGCATATAGCCTCCATCTTGTTCCTGTTCCTTGTTTTTCTTTTATCTCATTCTTACCCCGGCCTGTTCTTGGTTTTAAACTAATAGGGTCTGCTTGGTTCTTCTTCTCTCCCAGAATATTAAAGGTATTTGATTGACTCAGGATTGGAAGTAACTGTGCTGTTTGTACCATCTCCTTAGTAAGACAGACTGCAGCAAGGGTACCATGACAGTTTTTATTTCTTTAGGCAATTTGTTGATCCTCCTTAGGGGAAGCAAACCTGCCTTGATCTGGTAGTGTCATGTAACTTTATAGCTTGCTGGACCTGGATGTAGGTCAAAAATACCTAAGGTCGGGGCTCCTGGGTGGCTTAGTCGTTGGGCGTCTGCCTTCGGCTCAGATCATGATCCCAGGGTCCTGGGATCGAGCCCCACATCGGGCTCCCTGCTCTGCGGGAAGCCTGCTTCTCCCTCTCCCACTCCCCCTGCTTGTGTTCCCTCTCTCGCTGTGTCGCTCTGTCAAATAAATAAATAAATAAATAATCTTTAAAAAAAAATAAAAATATATATATATATATACCTAAGGTCACTGAGGAATGATTCAGCATTGGATAGTTGAAAGGGAAGAAAGGAATCAAGTAGAGGCCCTTCTCTCTGTTGTATCGTTCAGGTATGCCTGGCAGTACCCAGACAAGCCAGTTTCTAGCAGAACGCTGGAAACTCAGGCTGGGGCCTACTGGCCTCTTTTTCCTACCTGTTGTGGCATTCATGGGATCAGACAGGAGAAAGGGGTTATTGAAGCATTCTCCCCCTGACTCCCTTAAGGGTTCTTGCCTCACACTTTCCCAGATAGCCCATGAGCTGTGGAAGCTGGAAGGGGCCCTCTTGGCACAGGCCGGAAGATGAGACTCCACAGGCAAGTAGCTGTCCTCTGCAGCTCTCACGGGCGCCCTTCCGATCAGGGATGAGGAGCCAGGCACACAGGCCAGGTGGCTCAGGATATCAACTCCTGGTTGTAGAGAGGAGTTGTGGAGGGTTGTGAAGATGAGCCTGGGAGGCAGCAGAGGTAGCTGGCTGCCATCCTGCCTCTCTTAGTGTCATTTTTCCTGTCTCCTGATCCTTCACTCTGGGGATTCCTGCTAAAGTGATACTGGTGTACACTTTAATACCAATTAAGCCACGGCCCCTCTTGTTTTAATGGGACATCTATTAAAACGGAACATTCTAATAGAGAATTTCAGGGGTATCTTATTTGTTTTATGATCTGCCAGGCCAGACTCATCTGAAAACATAAATTAGACATGTCACTCCTTTGTGGTCCAGTGAATTTCCGTATCACCGAGCATAAAATCCAGACTTCTTACTGTGACCTGAAAGGCCCTAACTAATCTGGTTAGCCCTCTGGCTACCCCTCTGACCTGAGCTCATAGCATTCTTGTCTTCAGTCTTTCCTCCAACAGGCGAAGCTTGTTTTTACCTCAGGGCCTTTGCACGGGCTGGTACTCTGCCTGGGAAGCTTTTCCTCCATCTCCTTTCCTCCTTGTCATCTGGCATTTGGGTCTCTGCTTAAATGCTGTCTTCTCAGGCCCATCATGGTCTCTCAGACAGCACTCCCAGCCACACTTCCTGGCTTTTTTCTTCATAGCACTTACTGTGACATTGTCTGTTTTCATTGGTTCATTATCTGTCTTTTCCCACCAGGATGTCAGTGTGCTGAAGGAGGGGACTTGCTGTCTGACCTAGCACTGCTTAGCCAGTGCTCAGAAAACTTAGAGCTGGCACTCCACGAATATTTGCAGATTGGATGAAGGAACAAAGTAAAACCTGAGGCTGCAAGGCTTATGGCAGCCCCATTGCTTTCTCCATTTCTGTCTCCAGCTCCCAAATACCAGACTACTGGCTCCATAGCCTTCCACCTGTAGCTCTGCCAGCTGGCCTCCCATCCACTCCTTGAGGATGAATAAATGAAGGCACAGCCCACAGTGTCAGGAAGCTGCCAAGCCCCAGAGTAGAAGTAGTAGCTAGACCTAGCAAATCCTTGAGCTCCAACCCTTCCTGGAGCCCTCCAGAATCTGGACTGAGCAGGGTGTGTTGCCGCTCTGGCTGACTATTGTATGTCCTCTAACATTCAGCCTGCAGCACTGTTCAGTTCTGTGGCCTCTTTGTCCAAGGATATAGATAGGATATAGATAGGATTACCCTACATGCTTCCTTACCGTCTTGAAATGTCTGAGTGAAGAAAGGCCTGAGAGTTTAGGGTCTCTGGGACCTCAGTATTGTCTCTGGGACAGTGGCCAGTTTCTCTCCCCCAACCTCCTGCCCCCCTAAAGTACCTGGTTTGTCACTACTTCCAGCCCATTACGGGCGCCAGTCAGGCTTTTTGGTCAGTTAGTTAGTTTGTTTTGCATACATGCTTACCTCCACGCTCCACCTTCCTGATTGTGAGTCAGGAAATCTCAGTCTCCTGACAACTATATGCCTTCTAAAGACTTAACATTTTATTTTATGCTTTTATGTTTTCACATATAATTTCCTTGGATCCTTCAAAGAATACTGACTGGTGCGTATGTCAAGTAATATCTCATTTTCTGGGGGAGGAGGTGAGACCCCGGTGCTACTGTGACAGGTCCTGCTGTATACACTCCTTTTCGTGGCCCTCGGACTCCCAGCAGTGAAGGTTTCCCTGTCTGGAGATCAACAAAGCCTGCGACTGGAGAGCTAAATTTAAGGTTTAGGGAAATACAAAAACGGGTTTGAACTTATTAGACCTAGGTTCGACCCGCATAGTAGCTTGGTGATCTTGATCAAATCACTTAAACTCTGTGTTCCCCTCAAAATTGGTGCCATTAAAACCTACCCTATGGAGTGGCTTGTGAGGTTCAGATGAAAGCGTGTGTTTGGAATTGCTTTATAAACTTTAAATTAGTATGAAGATAGGAAATGTTATAACAGCTTTGGTTCTGGGTCCTTATTCCCCATGGGATAGTCCTACTTATGATGAAGCCTTAGGCAATGATATTTCCCCCTTACAGAAATTAAACTTGCTTTAGAACCTTCGAACTTTGCACGACTGAGAGCCATTGAAGTAGACTTCCTTGATAATAATGATTATTAAACTGTGGGCAAAGGGGACTGAACAATTGAATTTGTTCGGGTTTTCTTAAAGGAGCATTTCTATTTTCCAAAGCATCATAAAACAAATTTTCTTAGCAAATCTGTTATATAAACACACACACACACACACACACACACACACACACACACATACATAAAAAAAAATCACAGCCGTGAGCATTTGTATGCTCACAGAGCTGCCAAATGAAGCCTACCTCTGGTGAGTCTCAGAGTATTTCATGGATGCTCATGTGCTGTGTGTTCATTTATTTTGCCTTCTGTTTGTGTCAGAGAACAGATAAGCTAGGGGTGGTATCAAATTTAAAATACGGTAGAAGAGAGTAGAGAATTTTCCCTGAGAATTGGCTGAAAGATTTAATCTTTTGCTTTTTCTAAATGGTAAAATATATATAACACAGATTTACCATTTTTCAAGTGGCATTAGTACATTCACATTGGTTTTTGCAACCATTATCATCCATCTACAAAACTTCTTTATCTTGCAAAACTGAAACTCTCTGTTAAACAATAATTCTCCTTCCTCCCTCCCTCCCGCAGCCCTTGACGACCCCCATTTTACTCTCTGTCCCTAGGACTTTGACTGCTCTACATACCTCATATAGGTGGAGTTCATACGGTATTTGTCATGTTGTGACTGGCTTATTTCACTTAATGTGTTCAAGGTTCATCCATGTTGAAGCATATGTCAGAATTTCCTTCCTTTTTAAGACTGAGTAATATTCCATTGTATGTATATAACCGCATTTTGTTTATCCTTTCATCTTTCGTTGGCCACTTGGGTTGCTTCCATATTTTGGCTCTTGTGAATAATGCTTCATGAACATGAGTGTGTGCAAATATCTCTTCAAGATCCAGGATTCTTTTGGGTTTATATATCCAGAAATGGAATTGCTAGATCCTATGGTAATTCTATTTTTAATTTTTTGAGGAATCACTATGTTATTTTCCGTAGTGACTACATCTTTTTACTTTTCCACTAACAGAGCACAAGAGTTTGAGGAAAAGATTTCCATAGCAGCTCCTTAATACTGACCTCTCAACATCAGTGTTCCACAAGACTAAGCAAGAATGCATTAGTTGCCCCATAAGTGCCACTTCCTGGAATCAACAGCTTTTAAAAACTGTG